CCTACTCCATACTGCAGCACCATAATTCTCCATGTCCCTCTCTTGAGGCTGTAGATCCCTTGGCACAGCTGTAAGTTCCCTGTACAGCACACAGCCTTTCCCTGCAAACTGCTGGGACAACAACTCTACTGGAGCTTTATTCCATTAAAAGTTGGGGATTATTTTTTTTTTTGCTTCTATGCATCTCCCCATTTTCCCTGCATCCAAACAGCCACCTGCACTCAGTATCAGGCACGTGGAATGCCCATAAGCATCTCATCCAGACAGTAATAGTTTGGTGGAAATGAGGCCAAGTGACCAAACCCCTGTGCCCTTCCCTCCAGCAGCATGACCTGAGAGGCCTCCGGTGTAGGATTTATGTCTTGATCTGTGGCAGTGACTGACAGCAGCAACAAGGAGCTCTCTGGGGCAGAGGACAGGGAGGGCGGTGGGGAACTGTGTCTCCTGGGACAAGCTCCAGTCTGCTCCAGGGAATGTGCTAATTTTCACTCCTTTATAGTCCTTTATCTCAGCCCTGCGACCTTGAGCTCAGAGGCATTATCAGCCTTAGCCAGAAAGGCAGCGAGAAGTTAACTGTTTAAATGCTGAATGTTTCTGCCATGAGGTCTTGAAGGTGTCACCACAATGAATGCAGTTTGTTTCAGTAGTGCAGCATGTCAGTGAGCTGTTCAGGTTGAGTGAGAACTGATTTATGATCTTAAGGAAAACTGTTTGTACTGAATAGGTGATTTTTTGTGAATCACAGCCGTTTGCAAATTTTATATGTGCCTGCAAAGTTCCTTGGGCATGGAGAAACCTCCTGTAAGACTGTCCTGTGTGCATTGCTGCACACTGTGTATGAACTTGGTTTTCTTATCTCCTTTTTGTCCTTACCTGGACCCAATCATTACTATCCAGAACACTGGTGGAGAATTACTGTTCTCATGCTTGCTGTGGGGTCCCCACCATCGTGCTAACACATTTTCATCTTTATAAAGCATTATACAAACTCATACCATTAAAAGGTCATTTCCTGGAGCAATCTAGATGAATGTATTGCCAGTTCTGCTGCCGTTTCTCTGGGTGACCTTGGGTATGTCACTTCACTGTGTGTAACTTTTGGTGTTTGCAGAGTGAGCTGACAATACTTCCCTGGGCCATCCTGGCTATTAATGAGTTGTGAATGTGCTTGTGTACATGTGTGTCTAGTTTGGCAAGATCAGCTGCCCTTCTCTACCTGACAAATACTATGCAAGAAAAAATATTTCCTTTTCCTTCCTGGGCCTGAGTGGTCTCTCCATGAACAGCAGTGAGGGGGTAGAAGGAGAATTATTGGTAGAATATTCCTGCTTAATCAGTTCAGTGTTCATGGAGTTAATTCACTCATGCCTTCAGATTGTTTTGTTTCCAGGGATTCTAAACCGTTGCCTCCAGCTGTTCATTTCCATTGACGAGGATGATCTTTATCTGTCTAAACTAGTTAAAACCTGCTCCACTACCCAGCAGCCTTTCTGGAGCCAGCCCAATAAAGCTGAGTGCAGTGGCTATGACACCAAAGCCTCCTGGACATCATAAATTCCAAGCCCTACCTTTTTTCCTGACCTCCCACTGTTGGAGCACCCCTCCTGTTTTAATGGGGCTCGTTATTTCCTCCACAGCTCCATTTAACCCCATCCAAAAAAGGGAATGATATTTGCATTGTAAGTAACCAGTGCAGGATCCCTTTTAGACTAATTGCCTGCTTTAATATCATCAGATTAAGCCTTGACATTCCTGGAAGGTACCATTGGAGCACCTGAAGCACTGTGTTTTGCACGTGGACTGCTCAGGGTGTGTTGCTTGGGAGGTTTTAGTTGGAGCATATTTTTAAATGTGCTCTGTTTTAGGGCTTGCTGTGACTTACTGGGACTTGTCATACCTTTGGGGTCAACAGGGTCACTTCCTCCTCAAACATGAGATGTGGAAGTTTGTGTGTGAGCAGATGAGATGCAGGTTTGTTAAACTGATGAGACAGCCACCAGATGGACCAGGGAATCTTTCCAATGATGAGTTCAAGTGTCTTGTGTACATCAGGCAAAGATGCTGTGGATACAAGCGGGAATTGCAAACAACACAAAACTTTCTGTAGCTTTAATACTGCTCCAGGGACCTGAGCTCGAATGTGTGCACTGCTGTAGGAACTCCCTTGTGCTGAGGTTTCTAATTCACCTTCTTTTGGCCTGAGCTGAACAGGAGAACATAACACAGTGGGGAAAAAGCTAATGGTCAGTTTGTACTTTCTTCTACTCCAACTTCTGTTAGCAGTGGGAAAGTTTGTGGTCAGAAGACCTCTCGTAAAGACCCAGGCTGTGCCAAGGAGACATTTTCCTGTTGTGTTGTTGCAGATGTTATCGTCTCTGCTGTCTGGGGAGTCAGCAAGGCCTGAGGAGTGCTGGGACTAGCACCCCTGCTCTCTGATGCAAACAGCTGGATCAGTTCAGTTCCAACCCCATGTGTCTGTGGGAGAATGCTGTGTAGTCACTTTTCTGCTAAGCCACCTCACAGCAATTATGAGACTTCCAGAGGAGGGAAAAGGTCTGAGAAAAAGAGCAGTTTAACATGTCATTATTGGTCTTTAGCAGCTGTGTGTTATCCTATTGTTACTCATAACCTTTGTAACTTTGCAGTTGATGTTTTCTTGGCATCCTTCAAACATAATGACTGGGGGGTCAAATTCAGCTCTCAGTTGTGTAAATATGGAATGTTCCCTTGGCTGTCTGGTGCTATTTTACATTTGGCTCATGGTCCCTGCCCCTAGAATCCTGCAATCCAAAATACCCAGGCAGGGAGTTCAGTCACAGTATGCTCTGCATACCAACTGGGTATGCAGAGGACAAAACAAACAGATGAAGAGCTACTATCAAATCTGAGCAATATAATTATGGCTCTGTTGTCCTCTGGTTGAGGTTAATGAATAAATAAGAGCAGGAGTTTGCTTGGTACTTTTCCTATGTGATTTACCAGTAGATTAGGATTGGAAAGTCTTCCAGGAAAATGTATTTTAAAAGGAGTTTTAAGTAAAGAGAGAAAGGAATTTGATTGGGATGAATCAGGAACAAAAAGCAGCCAAATAGATGTTGCTTGAAGTAAAGCAGTAGGAAAGTCTGCCTTGGTGGTAGGTAGATGAGCCTTAATGGCAAGAAGAAAGGGAGACCTTTGCAAATCCATGAGGATGATGTTGGAAATGCAGTTTCCCTTTCAACCCTCCGATATCTAAGCTTGTAAGTCTCTTAAGTGTGGGTTTATGTGGCAAATAAATTTATCTTGATTTCGTTCTCTGATAAGAGGATCTCTGTTTTCCAGCATGGTCTTTGCAGAGTTCTCAGCAGTGAAGTGACTAATTGCACTTCTCATTTTCAGGGATCTTCCTGATAATCCTGCAGTGGAATGGGACACGCAGCTCCTGGCCACCTTGGTGCTACAGCACATAGAAGCCAAGAACATCGACCTGGTAATGTGAAACTTTCCACAGCTCAGGCAATTGCCACATTGCTTTTGAACTACTGTTCTGGGCTTTTCCCTTCCCTGTGGAAGCTTTCTCTGGAGTTGTTAAGGTTAGGATGTATCTTTTCTCTCTGGAGATCTTTCTTCCCACTGAGAAGTGAACAGTGGAGGAAATTCACTTTACTAACTCCTCAAATGGTTTCTCTAGTTTAAAGTAATTGTTTTCCCCTTTGCTGTGTTTCATTGATGAAAGAGCCCATCTGAGGTTTAGGTTTGTGTTTAGGCTTAGATTTGAAGCCCATCGGCGGATAAGTGTTAGAGAGCTCCATTAGCAGGGTTATAGGTCGGGACTGAAGAGTATTAAACTGGGAGGTTTCCTAGGACTGGTATAGTTTGGGTTTTTTTTTCCCACAGAACAGGAATAAGGGCCTAAGCATGGAAAGGGTTGTGTTCTGTTCTTCTCTGTTGAACCTTGCTTTGATCAGGCATGTCACTGTCACACAGTGGTTAACAGCTAAATCACAAAACTCTTAAAGCCTTTCAGCAGTTCACAAAACAAGAAACCACATCTCCTGTAGCATGAAAGCCCCACGAGCACAAAACCCAGCATCATGCATCCAACTTTGTATTGATTCCGAGGCTAATTTTCCATGAAATTCATTGCTGTGCACAGAGACAATTATAGTTTTCCTGGACTCCTTTTGTGCCTTTTGGCCCTGTGAATTGATAGGTTTTAATCTAATCTGAAAGCTTCTAACAGAGAAGGATTTGTATTGCATGTTTGTGACTCTCATGGGCACTAGAACAAGTGCACCAGAATCCCAGTAGAAATTCCAAACCCACTAGAACTCCTCTGGATGGTTAGGAAGTATTAGATCTTTGACTCAGGGGAAATGGAACTCCATCTGTTTGTGCTGGGGGAGGTAGGATTCTGCCACTAAACCTGCATAGGGGTTTGCAAAGCCCTGTCACTGGTGCTGTGGCTGCAGCTGGAGGAAGGAGGAGGATGACAGCAGGACC